AAAAAATATATCAACACAATTCAAAATTCATATATATAAAATAAAAAAATTAAAATAGTATTTAAATCTTTCTAAGGTTCAAATCGTTTAGTTTGGAAATCAATCTAGTTTAATTTTTTAAGAGTTATCTACCTGTGAATGGGTTTCTAGATTTTCTAATTTGCAACTTTATATTTAGTCGGGAAGAATATAATTGATATCTTTGTTCGCCCAATGTAGTCTTGATCCATATGTGTAAAATTGTTTGAGGTAAAAAGTACCTTCTTCTAAGACGAAAATACCATGTGGTTTTATCTTCACAAAGATCGAAATCAAGAGAGGCTTCCTGAGTTGGTCCTTCTGACACTCAAAATAGTCTCAAGACCAACCTTTGTGGATCTATATTCTTGATTTCAGCACCTTAGTTGAAGAGTGTGTTTTTATATCTAACCTTGGAGAGGTAGAATATTCTCATGAATATTTCATAGGGGAGATGGTTTATAGTTGCCCTGAGCTATCCTTTGGGCTCCTGTGAAATATTACCATGAACATTCATAAGAGGTAATTTGTAATGGTCTTGAGCTGCCCCTTACACTCCTATCCACATGGGCAAGTAGGTGGCAAGCTATCTAGGTCTTTTCCTCACACAGGTCTTATGTGACACTTGCGTGGCAAGCGATGACTGGTCGATTGTATATTTCCTATCATTTTGTTCCCTCCCCCCTCCCAAGGTAAGCTTCAGGGCTTTTATAAGAAGGGTTCAAATTAGTTCGTTTGATATAGGAGTGTTCGGGATCTCGTCTTACGGGTCGGGTTTTCTCGATTTAGATGTTTCAGGTAAGTCGGGCTTATGTTTTTGCCATAGTAGATTTCTCTTGACGCAGGTTACGTTTTCGACTCACACGTCTCGAGCACATTTAGCCTTGAGCCTTTACTATAGTAGATTTCTCTTCATGTGGCTCAGGTTTTCTCGACTTACGTGGCTTGAGCGTATTTGGCCTTGAGCTTTCATCATAGTAGATCGATCTTGGCATGGGTCGAGTTTTCTTGACTCACGTGTCTTGAGCAGGTTTGGTTTTGTGCCTCCTCCATACTGGATCTTCTACTACAAGTCAAGTTTTTCCGACTCATGCATCTCGGGCACATTTGGCTTTGTGTCTCTATTATAGCGAATCTTCTACCGCGGGTCGAATTTTTCGTAGGGGAGGTGATATATAACTACCCCAAGTTGCCTTTGGGCTTTTGTGAAATATTTCGATGAATATTTAGTAGGAGAGGTGATTTGTAACCACCCCGAGCTACCCTTTGGACTCTTACCCACACGAGTAAACTAGTGGTAGGTTGTTTGGGCCTTTTCTGTAGGGAAATTTATGGGAGATATCACATGCGCAGCGGAAGAATAAAAAGAAAAATATTAGATTTTTATAAAAAAAGTTTTATCGTCATGCAAAGATTGGTGTACAGAAACTCGTGAAACTGAAAACCACGTGTGAGATAGTTGTGTTACATAGAGAGATCGTATATCCCTAAATTCTTGAAGAACTATGGGAGAGGATAAAGGAAGTCAACTGTCCTCATTTCTAGTGGTGATCCACACGGTAGGAGCTACGAAAACACTCATCAAATTGCTGCCCAAATCTCCACATGCCCTAAATAGGGGCTGCTGGTTGAGAGAAGGGGAGAGGAGAATAGGAGATGACAGCAAAAAAGGCCTAGCCTATGACCATTTGGTTCCCTCCTATTTATAGAGGTCCCTTGTCAACTAACCCTAATGGATCATGCCCTATTAGGTACCAGATCTCCATCTAACTACCCAAGCCTCTTAGATTAGTGGATCTCTCTCAAATAATCTCTCATTAGCTCTTATTGAATCTCATCCACAGGATCCAATAATTTAGGATTTATTGAATATCCAATAAGATAGGAGCTCCAACAGATATCTCATATCTGAACCTGTACTTGTCGTAACACCTACCATATGTGTGTGACCCTCTATGCTCAATATCGAGCTGGCTTTGAGTTATACTTGTCAGAACTCCTTTTGGTTCTGTGAATTATTATCTTCATAATAATTCACTTGACTCATCGACTATGAACGTACTAGGCCACTACGTCGCAGTCCCCAAACGATATAGGGGAATTCAATCCTTTTGATATATTTGTCCTCGGTTACCATTGTACCTATAGTTCCTCATCTATCTAATATCCCAAAGATCGTATACCGGGCATGGTGCTATCAAGCCCATATAATTTCTACTTGAATCTCGCTCTAATCGGATTCTCCCGAAGAATTTTTTCTCTCTGAATCCGAATGACCTGGCTAGGGATTTGTTCGAGTAAGAACATATGAGATATTCCTCTCAGGACATCAAGAGCGGATGATCCTCTATCGACACTCAATAGCCCTCATAAGGTTGATTGTCACTTCCGATGACCAATTGTGTCAGATCTAGAACTTCTAGACTTATAAGTCTGATATCAAAGAGTGGAGTACTCATACAAAATATTCTTTGTGTCTCAAGTCTAAGGATCAGATACACCATTGGGATGATGGAATCACTGTCTGACAATGAGGTATCATCAATCATCCAGCATTCCATAAGCGGATCAATAAGTGAACTCATTCTTCAATGAGCACCTGCATTGTATCCCTAGTGTCCCCACTCGAGCAACTATGAGACTAGCCGCCTCCTATTGAATCTCGGATTTTGTTGGTGAAACCAATTGATAGCATTTATGATTTAATATGTATTTTGAGTGACGCAGGAATAGCTTTGATCGTGAAGAAACAATTAAAGTAGGAAAAATCAATGTTGGGTTGGAGTGGAACATGTCAAAAGATGGGACGTTGGACCGGAGGAA